TGCGTATTTCAAGTCTCATAAGGCCACTCTAGCAGCAGATGTGCATAGGTGAGCAATTTGGAACAGGTCAGCAGATTGGCACAGGTGAGCAGATTGGCACAGGTGAGCAGAGTAGGTTATGCTTGCAAATCCATGCAAGTTATAATGGCATGACAAAACAGTGAAGGTTAGCAGATGAGCACTTTGGCATGAGAATACTGTTCAAGGAGGCTTCCAAATTTGATGAGAAATGCTCATGAGTTTCGTTTTTTCTAGGGAAGATAGGGTTTGGGTTTCGGGCTTGCAGTGATTTCTATGTTTCCTTTGCCTCACAATCAAAGAAGGTCCATGCCTGACATTGAAGCCATTTCCAGGCGTTCTTACCAATCGAGTAGCTTGGTGATGCTTGGTGATGGGGCTTGCGTGACGATCACTTCTGGAATGATTGGGAAACAAATTTCATTGTAACCATAAAGCTTTTGTATATTTGAGCGTGATTTCAAGTATGATTCCTTTGTTTATTTCTGGGTTGCAGTTTTGGCGTGGTGATGTTGGTGGTTATCACGGCGCGCAAGGCTGTCCATGTAACAGAGGACAACCAGATCAATCTCAAACAATGGGTGAGAGACAGAAGTGTATCATGCCAAGGATGGCAGATCTTGTAACACAACGTATGAGAAAGCCAGCTGCACTGCGTAGTGAGTTTGCTTGATAATATCAATGTTTCCTTGTTGCCCTTAGCCAAACATATGTAGGCCAATTCATGTTCTCCTTACCTCCATTCCCAACAGGATACATGCTGCAATGATTAAGACGATCACTTACCTTTGAATCACACCTTGTATCTGTAATAGGATTCACCTTCCTATCATCCTGCTTTCTATGTAGCACTAATTTCCTATGATCATACATCATTCCATCAATCTCTGCGTTGCCACATTTCTACCATTCTTCACAGGTTTTATTTTAATGTGAAACTCTGTGAATATATGGTATCACCAAATTCCATGTGATCTATGCATTTAACCTCGCAGGTGGCCCCGTTGGTGGACTCCGGTGCTGTATTGGCATTCAAGGACCCTCACTTGGACGCACCAGATGACTTGGTGCTGCGCTGGGCTCGCCTTGCCCTCTCCTGCACCGCCATGCCTGCAGCCTCCCGCCCCTCCATGAATCAAGTGCTTTGGGAGCTGGTGAAGTTGAAGCAGGAGGGGTCCGGAGCACACGAGGGCCATGTGGGCGAGGCCAAATCTCGCATTGACATGGAGCTTGGGAGCTCCATTGGCTCCTCCAGCTTCAGTGCTGAAATGGCCCGTGCGGAGCGCGAGGGGGGCATGCCAAGTGGCTCTTCCACATAATCAAGTTTGTTTTCACAGGTAGCTTACTGGTTTACCTTGTGCTTCTGATGCCAATTGTTTGCTTCATATGAAAACATGGTATGGGACACTTAGGAACACTGACACGGGCTGTGGAAGGGATACTGGTAGCATCTTTTGATGAGCACAAAAATGGGACAGGAAAATTGGGCTGTGTAGTACACTGTAGCTTCGGCTTGTCCATGGGCCAGATTTTATGCTTGTCACCTTCTTCCTGAAACTTTTAGCTGTTGCATGCATGATTTTCTGGATTGTGAATTAGATTCACGTATAGGGTTGTTTTGGGGTTTTTAGACAGAATATCGCTCTTCAAACATCAAGCTTGAAAAGCTAAACATTCCTCTGTATATCCCCTGTCCCTCTCCCCACTCACATGCCGCCTCTCCTCTCACACCAGCACTCCTTTCATACCCACCACTCCTCTCATACCCACCACTCCTCTCATACCCACCACTTCTCTCACACCCCCCTATCCACTCTTACCCCCCACCCATACCATTCCCCAACCCCAACTCCTACCGTCATCGCCCGGATAGTAGACATATATGTCTTATCTCGTACACGGGCAAAAATGCTGGGGTTGTCTTGTATTTGGGACGATTTAGGGTGTCTTATAACTCTTATAAATGGAGAAAGAACTGTTTAGAAGATACCCCCTCGCTATAAGATTGCCCCTAACCTCTACACTGGCTTAACGCGTACACACAAATAGGTGCCTTATAATGAGGCGAGCTTGTTTATAAGAGACACCCGGAAAATAGACAACCCCTGTCTACTATTCGACACTGTCTACTTACCGGGCAATGACGGTATTATACTCCTCACTCGTCTCATAAACTCCCTCCTTTCGTAAACCCCACTTCTGTCATGCCTCTATATTCCTCTCATACCCCTAAACTCCTACCATACCCCCTCTGTTACTCCTCACTCCTCTTAAACCCCCCACTCCTCTCATACCAGCCTCCTCTTGAATCCCCCACTCCTCACACATCCCCTCTTTTCATAACCTTCACTCCTTTCAAACCTCCACTGCTCTGATAAACCTGGTTCCTCTCATACCCCTCACTCCTCTCATACCCACCAAACCTCTATGCCCCTCATTCCTCTCATACACCCCACTCACCTCATAACCACCACGATTCTATTACCAGCCATGCCTCTCATACCCCCCTCTCCACCCATCTCCCCACTCCTCCCATACCCCCAATTCCTCTCATGTCCCCAACTCCGTTTACACACCCCAATTATGTCATAGACCCCACTCCTCTCATACCCCCCACTCTTCCCAATCATTTTATTCCAAGTAGTCGCTGTTTCTTATGCTCTTGCTTTCTATGCATGCGCTCCTGCATTGAGCCTTTGGACTCCTGCACCATTGTCTCGTCCACTCCCTCCATGCACGATGGATATTTTGGATTAGAAACACCTGTGCAAGAGCAAGATGCTTGCACTAGACTTCTACTGGTGTTTTGAAATTATAAAGCCTGTTCATAAAAAGTGCTATCGTACCGACCATAAGCTTGATAGATATTTGTGAATTGTGCATAGAAAAATGGTGTCTTTGATTAGATCTCCTAGCCTGATTTGTCACTGACTGTGCTAACACACGTGACATCTTCCAAGCTAACCAATTTGTAACATTTCTGATTAATTACTCTCTATTCTAGATGAAAACACATCATTCAAACAAGGAACTGTAGATGGTTGTGAACCATTTTAGTTTGGAACAATGCAAGTTACTGTGTTGTGGAATGGATGGAGCACGCACAGTCCAAGGTTAATGAAATCTTTTTTGATACAATTTGTAGTTTGAACCATAATGTATCCTTGCAGCTTGACTACGAACTCAGCCTTCAAGTGCCAAGAAATCATGAACGTACCGTAGTCTTCCGGATAAAACACCCCCCTGTAATTGTACACCCCCGGGTAGCTAATACGGGGTGGGTGTTATATCCGACCCCGTTCGTACTATACCCCCCTTTTTGGGGTGATTCTCTATAACACCCCCCTTTTCTTATATATTCCTATTATAGCTGTTATCGAATCCGATTCCTTATGGGAGGATATCGCGAAAATCACTCCCTAGAAGAAATTTTGCATGTACTTTCACTTAGAATCAGCCGAGATATCCTTCCTCCCACAATCCCGCTGTCGCCACGCTGGTGAATCCCAAAATCTCGCTGTCGCCACGCTGGCGAATCTTCCACTGCAAGTGGTCCAAGAGGTGAAGTGGCCCAAGTGGCCCACAATATCCTCGTACTTGGTTTTGCGGCATTGATCAACAATCTTGAAGTGAAGTCAGACCCCTGATTTTGTTTCACATCTTTTTTGTTTTATAAAAAATATACCATATCATAAGACCCGGGTAATATATCGTCATACCCCGGATATACCCCCATGGGGGGCAATAATAAAGCAGGTTTTTTAAGGGGGGTGGGCTTATAATCGAGTAAATTTATAAGCGCCGGCGTTTATAAAATGACATATATGTTTTTATATATTTTCGAACACCATGTTGTAAATCTCGTGCTTGCCTTTTCAATCGAGACGAAGTTACATGGGGTCGTCTGAAATTCTCGCGCGCGCAGGGAGGTACACCCAATCTGACTCACATCCAGGTCCTGACAGCTCATGAGAGCTCCTGCTGACTGGACCCGAATCCAGTGCAAGGTCCAAATGTGAAGGGAACCGAATCTGCAAAACATCTGCCTACTAAAGTAGAAATCGTTAAAGCGTTTTGAACACATTTCAAAAAAATAAGCTTATAATAAAACAAGTTTTTTCAGGGGGTGCGCTTATAATCGAGCAGGGGATATAAGCGCCATATGCCAATTAGAAGCGCCAGGCGCTTATCCTAGGGTGGCGCTTATATCCGGGGGGTGACGGTATAGGATTTTCCTTTGAGGAGACCCCCCCCCCCCCCCCCCGATTTTTTTCCAGTGGTTTTCATAATACCCTAGGGTGTTTTATCCGGGAGAATACGGTACGTTTTTCATGGCAGGAAAAAAGGCAGGGAGGTGAGGAATCTGAATGCTAAGAAGTAGGGCACACTTTCTAATAATGTACCTAACCTCTCATGAGAGCCAGTTCAGCATCGAGAGTCCCCTGCTCATTGTTCTGGGTGCCAATCTTGGCCTTGTGGCTGCTAAATATGGCTTGTTGGGGATAAAGCGCCAATGGTACGTAGGTCAGTTGGTTGCTGACGGTAGGGTGGGGGAGGACAAAGGGTAGTGTGGGAGATTGTGGGTATCTCGTGTTTGTGGAAGGCATGGCCCTGCATCATACCTGCACCCACGACTGGCCTCAGACTGACATGAGGCTGACATGAGACTGACCAGAAACTGACCAAAAGACTGACCCGTGTTTGACCTTAGACTGACCTGAATTTGACCTTATTTGACCTAAGACCAACCTGAAACTGATACGAGACTGACCTGAAATTGACCTGAAATTGACCTGAGTTTGACCTGAGAGTGACCTGAAAGTGACCTGAGAGTGGCATGAAAGTGATATGAGACTCTCATTATGAGAGTTTCTAGAGCGACCTGAGTGTGACCTGAAAGTGACCTACGACTGACACAAAACCTTCTCCCCCCATGTACTTGACTGGCGAAGCTAAAGAAGGCATTGAACACAAAGGGCATGCTACACGGGCCAGGGTTGTCGATGAAAAGGAAGAGGCAGATGGGCGCTGCACTGTGCTGCTCCTGACGTGTTGCTGGTGGGGGGCGTGAGGATGATGGTGCCATTGAATGGTTGCGCTGCTGCACCTGCCAGGGAGACTGCTGTTGTCTGTGATGATTTGGTTGAAGGGAGAATTGCAGGGTTATCCAGAGCGAGGCAAGGCAGATGGGTGCAAACGGAACGGAAGAACTATGCTTGGATGTAAATAAATCAACACCAGGAGTTCGAGAGGTTTCAACTGCGATGCAGCTGTAATGGTAACAATTATGAGGAATAAGCAGGGTATGCAACGCAATCAAAGGGCACAACAAGAGAGTGCAATCTGCTTCTTACACCAGATCACTCAGTCTCTCCCAAAACTTGTGTATACACACCACTGTAAGAGCACGAGGGCAGTCCGGCCTGGTTGTCGAAGTTGCTATCGTAGGTGTATACTGATTCCTGCACAGACTCACTGAAGGAGCACATGCCATGCCCGCTGCACAGGGGTTGGCAATCCCCAGCAGAAACCCCACAGAACGCACCACACTCCTCTGCACTCCTCTGCTCCAAGTAGTCTCCAGGCGCCCGGGATGCGTTGAGCAGACAATGCTCAAAGGCGTTGCCAAAGTAGGTGTGGTTGGCCTCGGGCGGGATGATGGTCCCGTGGAAGAAGAAGTTGCGGTGGGTGTAGGGTAGGTAGGGCGGGAACTGGTTGGCTGCAGGTAGGGCGACAGGGGCAATGGCAGTCACCCTGTCACTGGTTGGCTGACATGTCACTGTAAAGAAGGGGGGGCGAGGGCAGGGAGAGCCAAGGCGAGGAATGGCGCATGAGCAGGGGTGTGACAAGAGTGGGTGAGAAGTGAGCACGCACAGGGTGGTGCAGACGAAAGATGCAGTGTTCTGTTGGAAGAATGTGTTTGATGCTGGTCAGCAATTACCAGCGCGCAAGCAGATCAGCCTTGAACATACAGATAAACCATCGGACCAAAGGAAGGGGCTTGGTGTAAACCATCGGACCAAAGGAAGGGGGTTTGGTGTAAACCATCGGACTAAAGGAAGGGGCTCGGTGTAAACCACCGGACCAAAGGAAGGGGCTTGGTGTAAACCATCGGACCAAAGGAAGGGGCTTGGTGTAAACCATCGGACCAAAGGAAGGGGCTTGGTGTAAACCATCGGACCAAAGGAAGGGGCTTGGTGTAAACCATCGGACCAAAGGAAGGGGCTTGGTGTAAACCATAGGACCAAAGGAAGGGGCTTGGTGTAAACCATCGGACCAAAGGAAGGGGCTTGGTGTAAACCATCGGACCAAAGGAAGGGGCTTGGTGTAAACCATCGAACCAAAGGAAGGGGCTTGGTGTAAACCATCGGACCAAAGGAAGGGGCTTGGTGTAAACCATCGGACCAAAGGAAGGGGCTTGGTGTAAACCATCGGACCAAAGGAAGGGGCTTGGTGTAAACCATCGGACCAAAGGAAGGGGCTTGGTGTAACAAGCATTTTCAGTCCTATTTGTAGTCCTCCTTCCCAAACCAATGCTCTCTTAGAATGGGCTCTTTCAGGACCCCCTCAACACACCAAGGCAAGTAACAAATGGCACATGGCCCATTGGCACATGGGACCTGGGACATGGCAAATAGCACATGGTGCATGCCATATGCGATTCCCCTCATGCACGTGCAGCGTGACAAGGCTGGTCATATTGCGTGTGATGCCGTACACATCGCTAGAGAGGACATTCCTGTTCAGGTAGCTGGAAGAAAGCACATCGGAAGACAACTCATGAACGCGGTGTGCATGGCATGGCAGCATTTGGACTCCCATCTAGCAGGGTTGAGTCACTCAACTTGAGTGCGCTTCCTAAGGCCCTCAGCGGAGGTAGCATGGAGTGTTGTTGTTGCATGCAGTTGCGTTGCATACAAGCATGATTTCAACTACATGTCAAGGTTGGTAACTTGGATAAGTGTGATTGGACCAGACGCCAAGGGACACTGGATACAACAGCAAGCAGCCAGGGTGCACACGCAAAAAGCCCAAGTTCTGAAGGAGAATGATCTGGGGACCGTGCCCGTGAGCCCCACACCCTCCAGCTACCTGAACCCACAGCGTGGAAGACATCGTATGCACACGTAATACATCACAGACTATGATGATGGAACGATAAGGGAGTCCTTGAGTGAACGAGAGAGAGAGCATTCTATTGCAGTCTGCATATATGTCTTTAACACGCAATGTCTCAGTACCTTTCTGATGACTCTTGTCCTCAAAGCTACTGACATTGACTGATGCAAAGCCAAGGAGACTCGGAATCATACGTGCACAGGAGGTTGCACCAGCAACACACCAGGCAAGCAAGGCAAACACCAAGAGAGAAGCTACAGGGATGGGTTATGGTTGGCGAGATGTCAAGGTGACTCAGGGTTCCAATAGAGGGGCTAGGTTCCACCAATGTTTGACCGTGCCAGCTCCCTGTAAATACATGGCTTGATTAAACACTAGGTCGGGGATAAGAAAGGAGAGCATGATTTCAGCATGCTACAGGTGTCTCCTATGATGTGATAGGCCTGACAAGTAGCACGAGCGCTACAAACATCAGAGCGGACAAATGAGAGAGGTACCAGATAGTGGGTTTCGGCGAAATCCATTATCATAAACCACTGCCTCTGTCCTTAGGGCAGTGTCCTTATGAAGCAGGGGCCAAACCGGGGGAGTGGAGGTCTGTAGACTAAAATCTCGTTCTAGATCCATACACTATGTTTCGGCTGTACCCTGTGCACACAATGAATCGCTCGCAAGCATCAAAAATTGTCTATGATTGTATGTTGAATCCTAAAGCTATAATGATTGGTGTCAAGCGTCTATTCAAGACATTACTAAGGCTGGAGTACGGTAGGGAAAGAGGAATTTTCGGTGGAGCGGTGATTAGCCCAGAGATTGAAAAGAACACCGCACGCGCTCTCACAACTTGTGAGTCAGAGTTCCACGAGCAGATTCTTGGCCCCATGAAGTGACAGAATAAACGGCGTACATACCGTACTCATGGTGACTGCATACATGCTCATGATGACTGCATACATGCTCATGATGACCGCATACATGCTCATGATGACTGCATACATGCTCATGATGACTGCATTCATGCTCATGATGACTGCATGCATGCTCATGATGTCTACATACATGCTCATCAGTGTGGGTAGGGTGGAGATCTAATCAAGAATGGCGCCAGGGAAGTTGTTATTGTGCAGGTCGCTGCACGGCAGAGCACAGGATAGAGACAAATTCTTTTCACTCGGCTAAAAAGCACAGAGCTTGTAGTCGACTCTGAGGCAGAACAGGGGAACAGATGCAGTTGCATCGATCCATTTTAATCAATCTGACTTCTTTCAAAAGCTCGAGAAACATCCACATGGCCTAGGCGCTTAAGTAATATTGTTGAGGGCTGCAGCGTCACTTTATCAGACTCAAGGGGGCATTGCAATATCGTTATCTTGACAGGAGCGGAGCTTCACTGCCTTGCATGCAGCAAGGCGAGGAGGACAGTCAGAGCATGGCATGGCAAAAGGAGAGCCGCATGGTGCTATGAGTGAACAAATAACACGTGCAGATGCAACAGCAGGGTGGGCGAGGCAATGGGGTGGCTGACAGGATATCGAGGGTGGAGATGGTGCTGAGGGCAGACTGCTGTCCACAGTGAACCCGTTGACCGAAAGGCTCCTGCACATGGTTACAGGGAATGGAATGGACCACTGGCGATGCGTTATGTGCCCCACTGAGTGCTACGGACAACAAGATACACATGCATGGGATAGCCTTGGTAAAAGCAGAACCCAAAATATTCTTGCATGGTGCAGTGCTGAGTGCTAGCGCACAAGAATGCATGCATGCACACAACGCCCTGTACATAGTCCGCGCTGCACCACAGCAGTTCCCCTCCCTTTCGTCTTTCAATGTCTATCTGTTAGAATGTTGCATGTGCTAGTTAATACTACTGTAAGTGATACACCAAATGTGGTACACTTTGGCTCAAGTAGCCCCAACCGATTTTGGTTGACTGCTTCCCAACATTCTTGGACCATGTTTGATGGGGGGATCCCAAATAATGACAGGGCCATCCAATCAATTATTCCCCCCCCCATCCCCCAATGATGTTGGCCAATCATTGCGTGGTCAACCTAATTGACCCACCAATGATGGTGTGGGCACTCATCCAATCCGCCCACCGTTTCCTTTCCTATGCTAGCTGTACCTCCACCCCCAGACCCCCCACGCTGAGAGTACCATTCACGGAGCTGCTACGGTGATAGAGTCTCGCTAGGACGCTGCTGCTGCTGCCTCTCGCCACCGCCCAACCCCCCACGCTGCACCGCTCCACCGCGCCCGCCACCAGCTCCACTGCCGCCACCACTGCCACCACCACCCCCACCACCCCCACCACCGCCGCCGCCACCACCCCCTGCTCCGCCACTGACCCCCCCACCACCAGCACCACTCCCACCACCGCCACCACCCCCGCCCCCTCCACCCCCTCCACCACTGCCGCCCCCTCCGCCACCTCCGCCCCCCCTGCCCCCCTTGCCCTTGCCGCCCTTGTGCCTAGGGATGAGCAAATGGTGAACTCGAACACGTTTGGGTTCGAGTTCGCTCGAACATCAACTTTTCCCGAACCGAGCACAGTTCTGTTCGGCGAACAACTTAGGGTTCAAGAGCTGTTTGCCGTTCGCCCTTGGGGGCGAACATTTGGTATGTGTGGGGGAACTCGAACATGTTCGAACCGAACATGTTCGAGTTCGCCCTTGGCCACTTTCATTATAGTCACAATAGAGACACGGAATCTTGAAGGTTGGGAAGATAGATAGGGGGGTGGAGGGTGTATATATAATCATGCAACGCACACTAGCATACTACACCATCATGAAGTGCCTATATAAAAGTCACTGCCAAATTACATCCTACGCCTGCACACCACTTCTACTACCAACAACAGCATGCTCCGCGTCAGAGGTGTCGCCAGCACCCACCCCCACCTGCTCCTCCTCCCCCTCCTCCTCCTCCCACTCGTCGTCCTCCTCCTCCCTCTCGCCTTCAATGGCGAACTCTGGTGGTGCCTCGCCTTTTGCACGGCGGCCCTCGCCTATCCTCTGTCCAGGGTGTGAGGTGTACCATGATCTGAGAATCATGGAAGCTCGCGTCCTCTGAGAGGCTAGACGGTGCCGCTTCCAGGATAGGAGGTTGCGGCCGAGGGAGAACACGCGCTCGCTCGACACGGACGTGGCAGGGATGGCAAGATAATCCCGGGCCATGCGCCTCAGCGTCTGCATGTTGGTGGCGCTGCGCCAATACTCCAACGCTGACACGTCGCACCGCACCCTCTCAAATAAGTACCTGCCAACCTCGTCATCCTGCACCATCCCACCCCTCCCCGCCTCCTGGCTCGCCGACAGACGCGCCGCAAGGCGTCGGCGACTAGGGAGAAACTCGGCGTCTTCGTCGTCATCCGCCGCATCTCCCTCCTCCTCCTCTGTCACTGGGGCATGTGGGGTCGGCTGAGGGGCAATCGCTGCAGCCCAGGCCTGGTACTCGGCCACGCGTTCGCAAACCAGCAGGATCACCTCGCCTGACGAGGGACGAGGCCTCGCCCTCCGCTCTGTATCGGGATGCAGCGTCTCCCAGTGCGCGTCGTCGAACCACGCCGCCTTCATGGAAGGGTCCAGGAAGGTGGCGATCCACAACTCGTTGCTTGACATCAATTCATACTTCTTCAAGAGACCCAGCGCCGCCTCAATCATCGGCTTGAGCATAGCCGATGGCCCCTTGGCAAGGCGCGACTCCATAGCGTCGATCAGGCCGTTGTAGTACGGCAAGACCATCGACACTGTAGGGTACGCCTCTCCCTCTTCGGCCTTGGAGACTTTGGCGAATGGGCTGAGGAAGATCTTGACAGAATGCAGAGTCTCCCAGTCTGTGTCCGTCAGGCGCAGGGTGTCCATCTTCGCCTTGTCAGCCTTCGACACGCCTTGTCGGGTAGAACGTATGGGTGGGCGGGTGATAGGATGGAAAGTGGGGTAGTTGAGGTTGTTGGAGGTCCGAAAAGTTTAGTCAAGCATGGCCAACAGTGGTGCAAGTCCCAGAAGAAAACACCCTGACCGACATACCAACACATTAAACAGCATACACAACACCTGGCACACACACACACCTATGTCTGGGCAAAGAAGACAGAGATGGGTTCCTGCAGAACCCCGGCTCGCTCGACCATGTCGTGGGTCAACCCCCAGCGTGTGGGACTGTCCTGCACCAGCTTAAATGCTGGCTTCGGTTTGGCGGGGTTGCCCTGCGCGTTCAGAGTCCGCTGTAGGCCCAAGAACTTCCCTGAGCGCTGCGGCGAGTAGCCTATCTACGACGCCATCTCTCTCAGAATCTTCAGCAACTTGCGGATGGCGGTCACAGCGAGTGCTGCCTTCACTGCAAGGTTGATCACGTGTGCCAGGCATCTGCGCACATCATAAAACATTTATGGCGGAGAGAAAGGGAAGTGTGAGTACACATTGGCATAGATCCGAGACACACTACCACTCTCAAGCCGCATAGGCCCACCCGCCTGTACTACAACCACAACATGTTCACATCACAGGAACGACGCACCCAGACTCCCTCATCGCACATCCAACGCACACTCCCTTTCGTACCGGAAGTGCATGCGCGAGTTGAAGAAGCACTGGCCACCACCCTCCTCCGACATCTACCTGAAAGCGGCAGTGTTGCTGGAGGCGTTGTCTGAGGTGAACCCAAGACAACGTATCTCCAACTCCCACTGCACCACCGTCTCCTCAACCACCCTCGCCATCTGCTTGCCCGTGTGACGCCCGTGAATCTCGCGGAATTCAAACACCATTGTGCGCAGCTGGTAATTCTCGTCGATCCAGTGACCCGTTACCACTAGCCACGCCCTGTTGTTGGGCGACGTCCACATGTCGATGGTGAACGACACCCTGCACCCCAGCTCCCCCTCCTTCGCCAGCATCTCCGCGATGGCTGACTGAAGAGCGGCAGCCGCATAGACCACTGTGTCGCGGGAAACCGTCCAGCGCGTGGGGATGAAGTTTTTCTGCGCGCAGTTGCGGTTTAACAGGATGAGTAGCTCACGAAACTGGAGAGGGGAAGAGACAAGGGGGGAGAGGGGAGTACACGTTAGGGGGATGGGATGAAAATAATATAGCACTGCACTGGGCCACACACAAACTGATGTAAGCAGAATGGGACAGACACCTCCACTAACCACATACTTGCCCAATCATGCATGGGATGGGATGGGGCACTTACAGCCTCGGCCTCGACGATGCGGAAGGGGAGGTCGCAGGTGACCACCAGCTTCGTGATCGCCTGCCGTAGCTGCACCGAGGTCAGCTTGGTTGTCATCCACCGCTCGATCCCTCCTGACCCATCACCTCCACCAGTCGCCATCGCTTTCCCCTTGGCGAGCTACGGCCAAGTCTTGGCATGTGGCCACTGATAGACGTAGCCATCCGGCACTCCCTTGTAGCCCCCTCGGGGAAACGTCTCCCCTGGCAAGTGAACGGACAGGGTGTGGTAACGGTGATGCCACACATGCATGTGCGCAGTGTGGAAGCTCGCAAAGTGCCGCTCGCCCAGGGTTGTTGTGGATTGCTTCCACGAAATCCTGTCTGTGCAAATCTTGCACTGACGCTTATCGTCTGCCCCTAACGGTCCGAACATCATAACTTGCCACCCCGGCTTCCTATTACCCTTGCCAGTCCCCTTACTACTCTCGGACCCTCCGTCCTCGTCTAAAAACTCGGGAGCGATCACACCCTCGCCCAAGGGCTCCCCAGTGAACGTGCAGGGATACGCCCGCTCTCTCAACTTGTTCGCTTTCTTCCTTTGCCTCGGCTCCCTAATGGTCACGGCCTTTCCCCCCCCCCACCTTAACCCCCACGCTCCCTCCCCCTTCACGCACATGCTGTGATCCCGCCTCTGTCGCCGCCCTTCCACCACCCTCTCCCACCTCCTCCTCTGGCCCCTCTGGCTCCAACCCATCCATCTCGTGGTCTTCATCATCATCATCTCCCCCCTCCCCACCGCCATGCGTCTCTGGGTCCCACGCCGCCTCGCTGTCATCCTCGCTCCCCTCAGTGTCCTCCTCCTTCTCGCCCTCACCATCCTCCTCCTCATCCTCCTCCTCACTGCCGCTCTCCGGCTGCGTCGGCGTCTGCCCCGAAGGAGGGGGCCGAGGGCCGTCATAACAGAAAGAGCGACAAGAGCTCGGCGCTGGTACGGTAAGCAACCCCCCAACGAAGATCGCGCCGGCTCCTCCCGGTCCATCCCCTACTCGCCCCTGCATAGGTCGTGGTGGAGATCCCGGTGCGCTGCCCTGAGCCCTGCCTGCACCTCGGCCTATGGATCCACCACCCCTGGAAGCCATCACTCCGCCCTCGACCCTAAACCCTAAAACCCCCTAAGGCAACGTTAGCGTTGGATGGTGCCGCACGTTCCTAATGCCCGATCCGAATCCTACGGCGAAGGATACGCCCTACTTGAGCCCTTTGCGGAGATGCTCGCTGAACCTTACTAGAAACCCTAAACTCCCTACTCTACGTTAAACCCTATGCATAGATGTTCTATCTAATGTTCGTTTACACTCCAAGTATTAACGTGCACTTGCTTGCACCTAGAACAAGGAGGCTAGGGCGGCTGTGTGAGGGAGCGCTAAAGCCTAAACAACTTCTGAGTTTGAGCTCACAAAATGAGCTCTAACAAAAATTGGCCGCGACCAGAATCTGGTCGCGGCCAATTTTGACGCGAACACTTTTGGTGTTTGCGTCGAATCCCAGCCGAACACGAACATGTTCGTGTTCGGCTTGGAGAGGCAAAATCCAAAGCCGAACGTCGAACATGTTCGGCCGAACACCGAACATGTTCGGCCCGAAAAATTTAGCCAAAAAAAAAAGCCTGTTTGGTTCGCCTCGAATATGTTCGAGGCGAACCGAACAGGCGTTCGGGATCTTGCTCATCCCTACTTGCGCCTCCCACTAGGAGCAAACGCAGCCCCGACCCCCTCAGCACCGAGGTAGTCGATAGCAGCAGCAGATGCAATGGAGGGGAGGAGGGGGACGGGGGGGCACCCCTCAAAGAAGGGAGCGCGAGGGTCGCCGCGAGAGGTACCTACAGCTACAATGCTCTTCTCAGCTGCTAGGAGTTCATTCTCGAGCAGGTCGACAGTGAGTTCGGTGGGGGAGAGGGCGAGAAAGTGGTCCCTGATGGTGCGAAAGGAGTTAGGGAGGCGGGTGATTAGGTGGTAGAGTGTGAGGTACATCGGGGGAGGGTTCTTGGCTAGGAAATCGGGGGGAAGCGTGGCACGGTAGCGGAGATCACTAGTACGGAAGTGAGTGATGAGGTCAGCTACAGTGGCAAAGGCAGACAGATCGGGGAAGAGATAGGGCAGCGAGAGACGGCCTATCGCAGCAGTAGCAGGGGAGGAGTAGCGTGCAACTATAGCATCGTACAGCTCCTTAGCGGTCTTATGCTGGCCAAAATGCTCGCGCTCATCTAACGGCAGGTGACTGCGAACGGCTAGGCGACCATGAGCGTCACGGGTCTGCCACTGTGAGCGAGTAGCAGCAAGTGCGGGAGCGGCGCCGGACGTGTGGTCAAACAGGGAAACATCGTCCTTGGCAGTGATTTGGAGGAATAGGAGCAGGTCATCGAGCCAAACGTCAAACTTAATCGGACGGCCCTCAGCGTCAAAAGTGAGAACGGTAGGACTGGCCATAGTGGCAGTAGCAGCAGTAGGAACAATAGCAGCAGTAGCAGTAGTAGCAGTAGCAGTAACAGGAGCAGCAGGTGCTGCAGGTGGTGTGCAATAGGGCGGCGCGGCTCGGTCAGGGCAGCGCGGCTCAGTCACGGCGGCGCGACTCGGGCAGGACGGCGCGGCACGGCTCGAGCAGGGAGGGTGGGCCGGCGCGCGGTCTGCGGTTGTGCGGGATGGCGGCCTACGTGGGGGCTGCAGCGTTCGCGGTGGCGGCGGCCTATGAGGGGGCGGCGGCCTACGAACGGGCGGCGGCCTACGGGCGCGAGGCGGCGGCGCGCGACGGTCGACGGGCAGCTCGCAGGCTGCGCTAGGGACCGCGCGAGGCCAGGGCAGGCTGCGCGCAGGCGGCGTCGAGTGCGTGGGCGGCTAGGGGGGTCGCGCGCACGAAAAAAAGGGCTGCGCGCGGGCAGTTAGCGGGCTACGCGCTCGAAAAACAAGCCGCGCGCGGGCAGCTAGCGGGAGAAGTAGGGCGCGCGAGGGCGCACTAGGAACGAGGCGCACGAGGGCGCTAGTGAGGGACGGCGCACGAATGCGCTTCTAGCGAAACGGTAGGCCCTTAGGAAAAACGGTCCTAGGTTCCTAACCTAGGCTCGTAATACCATGTCAGAATGAGAGAAGTGATTGAACTACGAAAAGGTTGGGTACAAGTAGGAAACTCTAAACTTACTGTACCCCATAGTAACTACCCCACTACAGCCTAAACAAACTGTAGCACGTATAACATTTGACAGCCTAAACTAACAGTGTTCAGTTCGGCAGAAGGCCATGTTCGTCAGGGGGCGAACACGAACATGTTCGAGTTCGCCCCCTGCTCATGCCTAGAGCAGGACAGGCACAGCTTCAGTACTTCTACCACGCACAAGTCAAAGCACGAGTTGGCATGTCAAGTGGTATGGCAACAGGTGCAGCTGCATGTACTTGCGTTCGCTGATTGAGCCCTTGCGGACCATGGATTCGCTGGATGCCTTTGTGTGTTTCTTTGTTCTTCACTTGCCCTCCCTTGCTACTTGAACCGTTCATCCTGTAGAATGAGGATCGGTGAACTTGAGGCACAATGAGAGAAGAACAATATATCCTTAGTAGGAAGATGGTACAAGCCTGAAAGGCTAGAGCAATGTCCTTTCCAAGGATGAGTTCTAGAGAAGTGGGAAGCCACATTTATGTGGCTGAACTCTTGAGGCTAGCTGCAGCACCTCAAAGCTGAGGGCAGGGCTAGCCAACCTTGCCAAGCTAGCAATTGAGGCCACATGTTGCACATGTGGGCCAGGCTGGAACAACAGCCTACATGGCAGCATGTGGCACATCATAGGAGCCAACAAGGTGAGTATGGGATGGGTGGACAGATGGCAATGCCAAATGTGACCACACTTCACTGTGGGTGAGTGTGGTGGAGTGTGGGAGTGTCATGTTCGGCATAATGAGAAGAGAAGGTGCTGCCGATGAGAGTTGAACCCGCGACCACTAAGACAAAAGGTACCCACTGGGACATTCTTGCTTCCACAACACCCCCCCTCAAGGATGTCCCCGGGGTAGGGTGCCTCAAGAGGAAACATGGGTGAGACCGAGAAGACCACGGATGCGAAGAAAAGGGTCACGGGGCAAAGGCTTGGTCCCAATGTCAGCAAGGTTGTCTTGAGTAGGAACATAGTGAAGGGTGATGGAGTGGTCGGCAACATGATCGCGAATGAAATGGTGCTTGATGTCGATGTGCTTGGCCTTGGGATGAAAGACGCCATCGTCCTTGGCGAGAATGATGGCACTGTTGTTGTCACACGAGATACGGGTGGGGCCGGTAGGGGGAAGTCCAACTGCAGTAAGGAGCGAACGAAGCCATAATGCCTCGTGCACCGCGGCGCCCAGAGAGTAATATTCAGCTTCACATGAAGAGATAGCAACGACGGCTTGGCGTTTGGACTGCCAAGAGATGAGTGACGGACCGAGGAAGAACAAGTAGCACGTAACGGAGCGACGCAGCTCCCCCTCCGGTCCCCAAGAGGCGTCACACCAGCCATGAAGTTCGAGGGTGTCGGGAATGCCACCAAGGAGAAGCCCAAGGGAGGTAGTCCCTTTCAAGTAGCGAGCAATGCGTTTGGCAGCCGAGACGTGAGGAGTAGACCAATCGTGAAGGTGACGAGCAAGAAGTCCAGCGCTATATGCGAGGTCGGGACGGGTCCCCACCATGGCATACATGATGGAGCCGACAAACGAGGTGTAGGGGAAGGAGGAGGAGTGCGGGGAGGAAGTCACGGGTGGCTGAAACTTTGTGTCCATGGGAGTGGCAGCGGGGTTCAGTGGAGAGAAGGAGTAGGTGTCTAGAATGGAGGTGATGAATTTGGATTGATGAAGGTGGAGAGTGCGGGAAGTTCGATCACGAGTGATGTGAAAGCCAAGGTAGTAGGAGAGAGGTCCGAGGTAGAAGGGTGTGTAGGAGGAGGTAGTGAGGAGGATGTGGGTGGAGATGACGATGGAGGGTCGCGAGAGTCGTCGGAAGGCGGTGCAGAGGGCTCCATGAAGATGACATCACGAGAAAGGATGACACGGTGCTGAGATGGGATATAGATGCGGTAAGCTTTGGTGCCGTCGAGATGACCATATCCAACCATGATGCCGGCCGTGCTTCGGTCGTTGAGCTTAGAACGCCGTTGGGAAGGAATGAGGACCGAGACGGGTGAACCGAAGATGCGGAGGTGTGATACATCCGGACGTGCACCGGTCCATAGTTCCATGGGAGTCTTAGAAGTTGAACCACCCCGACTAATGGCATGATTACGAAGATAGGCAGCAGTAAGAGCGGCTTCACCCCACCAGCCTTTGTCCATGTGTGCATCATGGAGCATGGAACGGACCATCTCAAGTAAAGTCCGGTTGGCCCGCTCAGCTACTCCATTTTGCTCAAGTGTGTATGGCGTGGAGAGGTGGCGGGCGATGCCATGAGCTGTAAGGAATGAAGTGAAGGCTTTGGAAGTGAACTCCAAGGCACCGTCAGAGCGAAAGGTTTTGATGGTGTGTGGGGAATGCATGTTGTGCACCCGAGTGACGTAAGCCTTGAAGCATGAAAGTGCCTCCGACCGGTGGCGTAGGAGATACACTGTAATGTGGCGGGAGTAGTCGTCGATGAAGGTGAGAAGGTAGCGAGCGCCGCCAATGGTAGTTCCATATGAAAGCGGTCCAGCAATATCTGAGTGAATGAGTTGGAGTGGGGCTTTGGTGCGAGAATGGGACACGCCAAATGGCTGATGTGTTTGTTTCCCACGATAGCACGAGATGCAGGGGGGAATCGAGGTGGAGGAGAGGTGAAGACCGGTGACCAGCTGCTGCCGATGAAGTGTTGACAAGGCCTGCATGTTGAGATGCCCGAAACGACGATGCCAGCGGTACGAGGAGGTGGTGGTGGAGGCTGGACATGCAGTTGGCTTGATAGAAGGAGCAGCACTGCTCCCATGATGCAGTTGAAGATAAAACAGATTGTTGCGGGTGTAGCCCTCGCCAATAGGAACGTCATCAGATGTGAGAACAACGCGCCCAGCAGCGGGGAACGAGACGGCAACGCCGGCAGCACCAAGCGCACGAACAGAGAGCAGGTTGTGAAGTGATGAAGGGAGAAATAGAACGTT